TTTTTTTTCCCGGGTTTTTTTTTTTTTTTTTTTTTTTTTTTTTTGGAAGTCCAGCTTCTTTGTCATGGGCTTGAATATATCCTTCTCCCTCATGCCTGGTCTCTCCCCAAATGAGCTGCTTACCTACGGACAGAAACTGACAATCTCTCTCATCACCAACGGTTTGATTCACCTGGGATCGGCTCTACAGAAAGTTTCTGAGTTATTATAACGGATCATAAAGGCCAGCCATAAAAATGAAGGACCCAGGGACCCTGTCTGATCTCTCCTCTATGCCAGGGGATGCCAGCTGCTGGTGTCTCTCTTAACCCAGGAGCTGATGCCTAGGCCTCTGCCCCCAAGCCCAACTACTTTGCAGCCACCGACTGACTGGTCTGAATTGTTGTTGCACTTTGGGTACCGGAGAGACTCCTGGTATGGATCACTCAGCCCACAGACAGCAGCTGAAAACATGGGCTTGACCTGCTTTTCTTTTCTCAGACTGCAGCTTGGTCAGACTGCAGGGATGAGGGCGCACTGAACGCCCCACCCTGGGAATCTCCTTGCTGTCCCCCAAGCTGAGTTGATGTGCTACAAATCCTCCCTGCAGGGAACTGGGGCAGGATGGAGCTGGGGCAGGGCAGGAGAGGGGCAGCTTAACTCTCCCCCTTGGCCTGTCATTTGCAGCCAGTGGCTGGTGCTCTACCACCCTGGGTGTGGGTGGGAGAGCGAGACTCTGCAGCTCGAGAGCTTTTCCTGGGGGGATGCAACAACTGCCCCTCAAGGGACATAAAGGACCCAGTATTTGGGGGAAAAGGGTCGTACCTCAGGGATACAGCCATCCATCCCAGCTTCTCCTCTTTCTGCAGACTCAACCCTGTTAAACTGGGCGGTAAGAGTCTGGACGCAGGCTGTGGCTGGGCGGGAGAGGGTGCAGGCTGCCTGGCTGCCCTCCCAGCACATGCGCCTCCTGTTCAATCTGCCTTGCATGGGGCTTTTTCCAGGGAAGGCCACCCACCTCTTCTCTGTGCTGACGCCCGCCTGCCCCCCTCCCATCCCCATAACCTTCTGGGGCAAGGGGCAGCTTCAGGCCCGTACCTGCCCCTGGCGTAGCTCTCAGGGTGGTCGTCCTGCCGCCCTTCCCCTGCCGAGTGGGCCCTTCTGGCTCCTTCTTTGCCCACACTCCCCTATGCCACGTGGGCTCCCTCCCACGGCTGGGCCAGGCGGAGGAGAGCTGCTGCCCTGGCTGGGCACCCCTCGGCTTCGCCGGCTCGGGGGCTCCAGTGGAGCTGGGGGGATGAACGCCCGACCCCCGCCTCCACATGCTCATCTGCCCTCCCTGCGCCTCCCCCTGGCAGGGGGCCGAGCCCGGGAGCCCCAGGGCTGCTGCCCTCGCTCCTGCCACTTGACCCTGGCCCTGCGCTCCGGCCAGGTGGGGCACCCTCTAGTCTGCCTGGCACCACCCCGCGCCCCACACCCAGCCCGGGGCTCCCCGGCCGGCACCTCCTGGGGGCTGGAGGCAGGCGCGTTCTCCCGCCCGACCGCCCCCCAATCTTCGCGCGCGCTGATACTCGAGTGAATACGGGCCCGACGTGAGCCCGCGAGCTTCTTCCCGCCCCGCGCGCGGGGACTCGACGGCGCCTGGTGCGGGGGGGGCTGCCTCGCAGCCGCTGCCGCACGTCGGGGGTGCGAGCGAGCCCGGGGCTGAGGGCGGCCCCCCCCCGGGGACCGGGAGCGCCGCGGCACCCTCCGCACTTACTTGGCCGGAGGGAGACGCGCGCGGTGCTGGTGCTGGCGCCGCTGAGCCCCGCGTCCCGCTGCCGCTCGCTTCCCCTTTGTGTCTCCAGAACTAGTTTCAGCTGGTCACATGTGGACACCACCTTGCGGCGCGGCCGCCCCTGACGTCACGCCCAGCTGACGACAAAAGGTGGGTTTGGGGTTTTTTTGGAGCCCAAACTTCGCCAGGCTCCTCCCCCTACCCCTCCTCCCCGCCGCACGTGGGCAGCCTGCCCCCTGCCCGCGATCTTAGCCTTTGCCCTGCTGGGGGCAGAGGTGCGGGGCCTTGCGGCTCGTAGCCTGGGCCGGGGGTCTTGGAGAAAGCCCAGGGCATCCAAGGGACAGAGCAGCGCTTCCCAAGCTTTTCCTCGCATGACCCCATTTCCTCAGCATGACCCCCTCGCTCCCAATCCACAGCCCCCGCAACCCCATCTGCTGATGTTGAGATCCCATTTGGGGTCACGACCCACAGTTTGGGAACCACTGGGATAGAGGGAGGCTCCCTCTGCCCCACACCCCAGCCCTGGTAGCTGGAAAGAGCTGGGGGGGCTTGCACAAGACCTGGACAGAGATGGAGGAGGACTTGCATAAGACCTGGTAGCTAGAAAGAGATGGAGGAGGACCAGAGGTGGATTAAGGTTTACTGGGGGACCCCCTGGAGGACCCACGAAGGACCTCTCCTCACAAAGGTTGTGGGGGGAGAAGTGGTGCCTGTGCCCATGGGCAACATCTAGGCCGTTGAAGAGGGCGAGGGGCATCATCAGGCAGAACATAAGGCATCTTTTTGTCCAGTTCAAAGTAAAAGAGAAGCTATGCCCACAGGCGACGGGCACAGGGCTGGATGATTTGCTTTTCAGAGGAAAGCACAAGCAAGAAGTGTTTTGCCAGAATGAATTAAAAACCAACGTTCAGGGCCAGGACATTGGGGCTTCGTTCCCAGGAGTGGCGAACAGACAGGAGCACTGCAGAACAAAGGCTAGCTGGGTTGGTAGAACGGCAAGGGCGTTAGGAAGCAGAGAGGGTGGTTCGCACCGGGGGAAATGAAGGGTTTAGAAGGGATCAGGTGGATTAGAATGAGCTGCAGCGTCAAGGACTCCCCAGCACAGTCTGACTAGAACTGTTGCTGCTGCTGCCAGGCAGTTGGCTTTAAACTTTGAGCAGAGCAGGAGTCAAAGGGGCAAGTGCACCAATGCCACCCCCCCTACCCCCGCAACCCCAGATCCACCCCTAAGATGGGTTTTCAAGCTATTCAGGCTGGAGATAGCCCTCAGAAAATGCCAACTGAGTTTTCACTCGTGTCTTCACTACAGTAGAATACCTGAGTACTTCTGTTGCAAACTACTCAGAAGAACTGCAACGTGTCAGCATGTTCTTGGCACTCTGGATTTCTTCTGGGTTTATCTTGTGAAATGTGTGTAAATGTTTGCACACCTCACGGTGCTAAGATTGGTTGGCACTTTTAAAGGATCTCAGGGTGCCTTGAGGTGCTATGGCACCCTGGCCTAAGAGGTGGCTGCATCCTGTCAAACAGCAACCAGCCTCCAAATCCAACCCAGACAGAAATGACTAGCAGACAGAAGAGTCAAACTGCAAGCACAGTATATAGTCATGTTCTGGGCAAAACACAGCCACCTGGGGCACTGACCCAAGGGGGTCTGCCGCAGGGCATGCCAGTAAAGTCTCTTAGGTTGAACCTGCTTAGACTGCCAGAGGGAAAGTAAAGCGGGGGGCAGAGTAAGGAAGAGCTTGGGGGGGGGGGTCAATGAATGGGTCCAAAGGAGTCTGAGGTGGCACCATTTCCCCTGCAAGGGGATGAGACATGAGCCATGCCATTATGCTCACTTTGGAATCAGGCCCTGTGACCCTGGAGTCCCATCTGTAGTTCCTGGTGGCACCTCTCGGGGTACAGTAGAGTAACAGAAGCCATGGAGTGACTTTAACATCCCCCTGGATCCCACTGACACTGGCACAGCCTCCTAGATCTTGAGTGACATCTTGTAACATAAGAAGTGCCATACTGTGTCAGACCAGAAGTCTAGCTAGCCCAGTGTCCTGTCTGTATGTGTACGTCAAAATTGTGAACCCTGTTATATCCTGTTGGCTTCTAAACCATCCTCTGGGAATGAATTCCATGTGGTAATTATGCCCTGTGTGAAAAAAATAATATTTACTTCCCTTTGTTTGTTTTAAACCAGCTGCCTGATCATTTCATTGGGTGATTCCCCAGTTACTGTATTGTGAGACATAGTGAATCATAGTTTCCTGTTCACTTTTTCCAGGCTATTCATGATTTTATACCTCTTTGTCATGTCATCTCTCAGTTGACTTTTCCAAGGTAAAGTCTCAGCCTTTTTAGTCCCTCTAATAGGCAAGTGTTTCCATGTTCTGATCATCTTTGTTGCCCTTTTTAGTACCTTTTCTAGTTCTCCTATATTCTTTTAGAGATGGAACAGCCAGAACTGCACACAGTATTCAAGATGTTGGCACACCACAGATGCATATAATGGCATAATTAAGTCTTTTGTTTTCAGTTCCTTTCCATAGCATTCCTGATATTTTATTTGCCTTTTGGACAACTATTGCTCATTGAACCAGTGTCTTTGAACCTTAGTGACTCCATTGAACCACAATGACTTCAAGATCTCTTTCTTGAGAAGTAATGGCCCACCATTGTGTATGTATTGTTGGGATTATTTTTCCTGACGTGCATTACTTTGCATGAATCAGTGGTAAACGTCATCTGTCAGCTTGCTTGGTTTTGTAAGAACTTTCTCAGCTCATCCCCACCAGCTTTCGATTTGTCTATGTGGGATAACTTTGTATCATCTGCAGATTTAGCCACTTCACTACCTACTTCTTTTTCCAGATTATTTGTGTGTGTGTTGAACAGGGTCCAGCGCAGGTCCCTCTGGGCCCCCACTCCATTAGGAAAAATAAGCATTTAGTCCTACTCTCAAAGACACCCTCAGAGAATTCCAACAGATGCCATCAACCTCTCATCATCCCCACCCACCCTGCCTCTTTGTGCTTCTTTCTCTTGGACTGGGGCCCCAGCCTGCTTTGGTTGGTGATACACATTCTTTCCCCTCCCCATGATGTTCTCCCTCAGCCTTTTCTTGCATGGATGCAGTACCCTCTCAAGGCCAAAATGACCCCTATGGGCTTCCACACTGCTGGCAGCCCATACCTCCCCACTGCTTGGGTCCCTCACACCAACACAACCAAAAAGCCATTAAGGAGAAAGCAAGCATGGTAACAGCAATCATTTTCCCCTCCCCTTCTTTAGGGAAGAGGGGAATGCAGGGGCCAAACCACCTCTTCTGATGAGTTGCTTAGGAAGACAGCAGATCTGGTGTCATGTCAAAGGAATGGGCTTGTGGTGGGGAACAAAGCCATTTTTCCACTATCTACTCTGGAAGGATGGTACAGGGAGAATTGAGGAGCCATGGGTTTTATGAGCTGCTTCAAAATCGGAGATCTCTAAGAGATTCCTGTGGTTAACTCTGACATTGCTGGCAGTTTCTTGGATGACTGTCTGGGAGACCATTCAGCAAACATCTGAAGGGCAGAAGTCCATGGGAAGAATGGGGAGGATTATTTAGGGTGGCCACAGCGCAATGGGCTGGCCTTAAACAAAGGAACATTGCAGCTGAATGTCAAGGGAAACTTCCTGACAGCCAGAGGGGTGAGGTGGAAAGACCCATCGCTGGAGATGCTTAAAATAAGGCTGGACAAGGCTTTAAAGGGACAAACTTCAAAAGTTCAACAAAAGTAAGGCAATTCCTAGGGAAGTGGATTCTGTTAATCTCAAGAGTTTTGGCTCAAGAGCATTTTGTATGTATTGTCAGGAACTGCAATGTCACAAGCCTATCATGAGTACCTCAATGACATGGCTGGCTCTGGAGGCAGGAGCTGCTATTTTCACTCACCTCTCAGGACTTTGCAGTGTGAGGATAGGTGGTAGCAGGAACCTGGAAGATTTCATACTGGATCTGCCCAAGGTACTAAGAATCCCAAGGTCAACAGCATCCTTTTGGTCTTCTCTCACCTCTGCTCCTACCCCTCCTCCTCAGTCCTCTCCTGTTCAACCCCTGCCCATGCCCCGTTGTCCTTTTGGGTGGAGACCAGAGTGTGGAAAGGCGACTAGGGAGCACAGAGGTCATTTGTGGGCATCATTTTCTAACTGCCTGTTAGGCTTGCCCCTTCTGAGCACTTTGAGAAGGGACGCAGGGAGACATCACATCCCTCTTCAGCTCAGAGACAGAAGTAGAGCTGTATGTTTGCAAAAAAAAAAAAAAAAAAA